GTTCAAGAGGTGCCCCTTGGTGCCTTTTGAATTTTGTTCTGAGGGCTTTATCTATGTAGAAAAAGAAATGAAATTTCTAAGTAAATGAATGCATACCCTCCATCCCTACGACGAGCCCTCTTTCCCAGCAACGGGTCTCGGCAGGAGGTTTTACCCTAGTTGGTGTCTGTTTGAAAGCAGGTGAGGCCGGTCCATTATATTCACTATGAGCATTTAAGGAGCATCTGCCGGGGGCCCTCGAGCTATAAGAAAGATACCCTCGGAAAGACACTGGTTCCTGATATCACAGTTTGGCTAACAGATGAACAATGTCATAAATTTAGGATATGACACAGGTAGTTTCAAATCTGTTGGGGAATGATGGATTACTAAGACAGAAGAAAATTGGTGTTGGGTCACTGGCTCTTTGGAGGTGGAAAAAATCAGGTTAGATCTCTGTCTCATACCTACAAAAAAGAGATTCCAGATGGGATTAAGAGCCAAGAGAAACAGAGTTATGTAAGTACTGAAAGAAATGAGAACACAATATTTTTATGCTCTTGGGGGTGGGGGAGGCCTTCCTTTTCAAGATAGAAAGATTCAATTACAATCAACTCTCTGTACTATCCATGTACCTTTTCTGTGAATCTGAATCTATTCTGAAATTAAAAGTTTATTGAAGGGACTTCCCTGGTGGCTCAGTGGTTAAGAATCCTCCTGCCAATGCAGGGGACACGGGTTCGAGCCCTGGTCCGGGAAGATCACACATGCCGCAGAGCAACTGATCTCGTGCGCCACAACTACTGAGCCTGCACTCTAGAGCCCGCAAGCCACAACTACTGAGGCCCACGTGCCTGAAGCCTGTGCTCCACAACAAGAGAAGCCACCGCAATGTGAAGCCCGCGCACTGCAACGAAGAGTGGCTCCCGCTCGCCGCAACTAGAGAAAGCCTGCGCGCAGCAACAAAGACCCAACAGAGCCAAAAATAAATTAAAAAAAAAAAAGTTTATTGAAAAAGGGAAAAAAAATCAGTTCACGGAAGGATATACACCAAGTTTTAAAAAGGACAATTTACAGACTTAGGAGAAAACACGGTGTCCAAAATGTAATAAGTTGCTTATAAATCAATATAATTAAGAAGAAGATAAATTACCTGATAGCAAAATGGGTGAGATATCAAGAGGTAATTTACACCAAGAGAAACACAAAAGGCCAATAAACATAGGAAAAGATTCTCAATTTCACTGGCAATCAGGGAAATGAAAATTAGAACCACAGGAAGAGATTTTTCACTTACCAGATTAATTAAAACTTAAGAACAAAATTGAGACTACATGGTGTTAATGAGAATGTGGAGAAACAGGCATTTTCATGTCTGTTATTGATTAGCGCGGCTTCTTTTGTGGAGGCCAAATTTTATGTATACATACTTTAGGACTGCAATTTCTTTTTTTTTTTTTTTTTGTGGTACGCGGGCCTCTCACTGTTGGGGCCTCTCCTGCTGCGGAGCACAGGCTCCGGACGCGCAGGCTCAGCGGCCATGGCTCACGGGCCCAGCCGCTCCGCGGCATGCGGGATCCTCCCGGACCGGGGCACGAACCCGTGTCCCCTGCATCGGCAGGCGGACTCCCAACCACTGCGCCACCAGGGAAGCCCAGGACTAATATTTCAAAGAACTTATCTTATAGAAATATTTGGATAGATGCACAAAGCTTGTATATTGGACAAATCTCCAGAACAGGGGACTGGCTGCATGCACGCTAGGGAATACTATGCAGCTATGGAAAAGAATGAGGCTCATCTCACACACACACACACACATATGTGCAGGCACGCCTCGGAGATATTACAAGTTTGGTTCCAGACCACCACAATAAAGCAAGTATTACAATAAAGCAAGTCACATGAATTTTTTGATTTCCCAGTGCATGTAAAAGTTGCGTTTAAACCTACAGACTGGGAGAAAATATTTGCAAGCGATGCGACTGACAAGGGCCTAATTTCCAAAATATACAAACGGCTCCTACCGTTTAGCAGTAACAAAAAAAACAAACAACCCAATCGAAAAACGGGCAGAAGACCTAAACAGAGATTTCTCCAAAGAATCTCCAAAGGAGACATACAGATGGCCAAGAGGCACATGCAAAGATGCCCATCGTCGCTAATTACTAGAGAAATGCAAATCAGAACTACAACGGGGTACCACCTCACACTGGTCAGAACGGCCATCGTTAAAAAGTCTACAAATAATAAATGCTGGAGAGGGTGTGGAGAAAAGGGAACCCTCCTGCATGGGTGGTGGGAAGGTAAGTTGCTGCAGCCACTATGGAAAAGGGTATGGAGGTTCCTCAAAAAACTAAAAATAGAACTACCATGTAACCTAGCAATCCCACTCCTGGGCATATACCCAGACAAAACTATAATTCGAAAAGATACATGCACCCCTATGTTCACAGCAGCACTATTTACAATAGCCAAGACATAGAAACAATATAAATGTCCATCGACAGAGGAATCGGTAAAGAAGATGTGGTACATATATACAATGGAATATTACTCAGCCATTAAAAAAATAATAAAATCATGCCATTTGCAGCAACATGGATGGACCTAAAGATTATCATACTAAGTGAAGTAGGTCAGAAAGAGAAAAACAAATACCATATGATATCACTTACATGTGAAATCTGAAATACGTATCTATAAAACATATCTACAAAATAAACATATCCACAAAAAAACCTGACTCACACACAGAGAACAGACTTGTGGTTGACAAAGGGGAGGGGTGGGAAAGGGAAGGATTGGGAGCTTGGGATTAGCAGATGTAAACTATTATATATAGAATGGATAAACAACAAGGTACTACTACACAGGAACTATATTCAATATCCTGTGATAAACCATAATAGAAAAGATTATGAAAAAGAAAATATATGTGTATAACTGAATCACTTTGCTGTACAGCAGAAATTAACCACAACATTGTAAATAAACTATACTTCAATAAAAAATTTTTAAAAGTTATGTTTACACTATACTGTAGTCTATTAAGTATGCAATAGCATTACGTCTGAAATAACAGTGTATATACCTTAATTAAAAAACACCTCGTTAAAAAATGCTAACCATCGTCTGAGCCTTCAGTGAGTCCTAATCTTTTCACAATAGTAACATCAAAGATCACGGACCACAGACCACCATCACAAACCTAATAATGAAAAAGTTTGCAATATTCTGAGAATTACTGAAATGTGACACAGAGACACGAAGTGAGCAAATGCTGCTGGAAAAATGGCGCTGACAGACTTGCTCGAGGCAGGGCTGCCACAAAGCTTCATTTGTAAAAAAACCCACAATATTTGTGCAGTGCCAGAAAGTGAAGAAGCACAGTGAAATGCGGTCTGCCTGCATTTATAAACATTTACATACATGTAAATACATATACATATAAAAGTACATAGAACAAATACAAATCACATGGCCTGGTTGGACCAAATGGGAAACTGGGGCTGGACCACATGGGGCCTTGGAGACCAAACTAAGGTGTTTGCACTTGGCCGTGCAGGCGACAGCAAGCAAGGCAAAGCAGAGAGGGGATAATCACATGTACCTGCAGAGCAAACAGCCTTTGAAGGAGGAGCCAGGGACAGAATGCCACTGCCACCATCCAGGTGAGAGATGGTGAGATGAAAGCAGGAGGGGGCGGGAAGGAGGTAGCTGATTTAAAGTGACCCAGACGAGGTCCCTGCTTTTGTGGAGCTGACACAGGCAACTAGAAGCCAAGATTTAGGATGTGGAAGGCAGAACGGACACGATTTCGGGATGAACAGGGATGATGAGGTGGGGACAGGAAAGCCCTCTAGGACTGCCATTTCCGACGCATGCATCACCTAAAGGTCTTAGACAGAGCTTCGAGAAGCCCAGTTCTTTCAAATACACAGCAAAAGCTTTCCTTTCAGGACTGTGGAAAGGCCTCCTCTCTTCCAGCCAGATGCATAGGAAAGAGATCGAGCTTCCCATCTTGGGCTTGAAGTTGAGCTCAGGATGTTTGCTGCGGACAGGAGTCTGAGCAGAACCCCAAGCCTGCTCCCAGAAGCTTCCCCTGGGGAGGGAGTTGCAGGAGGGTGGTCCCAGTGGAGAGTGACTGTGTGGGTACCTGTGAAGGGTCTTCCTGGAGGGGGTCCAGGACAGGTCTGGTTGGAAGGGTGGGAAGGGGTGTCATTCTAGGTGGGACGAGCTGCAGACGGAGGGCTGGAGAGGACAGGAGGGGACCTGGGGAGAGGTCTGCACAGGGAAGGGCAAGGGACTCCTTGCGGCTGTGGCCTCAAGTGGGAGAAGGAAGGAGGGGAGAGGGGAGAGACTGGGGCAGGTCCAGCAGCGAATGGGTCTTATCTCCCTGTGGGCTGAGTTTGTTTGTTCACCTCGTTCGTTCATTTGAAAAGAATTTACGAAGTGCCAACAGCATGCCAGGCACTGTTCTGGACGTGGGGTGATGTGGCAGTGACCCCAATAAGAGATCTGCTCTCCTGGAAGCGACAAGGAGGAGAGGCAGCCATGAACAAGGAAAAAATAGTAAGGTAACTTCTGGCAGAGATCAATACTGTCCAGAAAATAAAACAGCATGATGAATGGAGAGTTTGAGAGGGGGGTGGGAGCGGGGAGTGATCAAGAGACAACACACAGCTGAGGTCTGAATGACAGAAGGAACCCTCCCTCCACTGAGGACTGGGGAGGAGTCACAAAGAAGGGCAGGTGGGGATGCTGCAGGTCTGAGGCTAACTGTACGAGGTGACGGTTTAGCTAAGAAGACCGCGTTAAGAAAATGAGGCTTTTTTCCCTTTGTAATGAACTCATTCGTGAGCTGTATTTTTAGTTCTTTCTCCTGGGTTTTTGACATTGGGCGGGAGGGGGAGGTCTGTGGGGACCGATGGGGCAAACCGTGGATCGCTCACAGGGGTTGAGCACAGGCGCGGGGATAAGCCTCAGGTCAGGGGAGACAGAGGTGGAGAAGCACCCACCTGCTCCGGGGCGTCACGTCCAGGAAGAGCTGCACAAGCGCCAGCAGGTTGTGGTGGTGATCAGATGCCCGGCTCAGGGCACAGCACAGCTGCCGGAGCTGTGGGGACAGTGGGCATCAAGGCGGGCTGGGGGGGCGTGGCCCGCCTTCCACCCTGACCTCCCTACCAGCCCACTGCGGGGGGGTGGGGGTAGGGGTGGGGGGGATATCTGGAGAGTAAGAGGGTGGGTCGTGGAGGCCAGGTAAGGGAGGGAGCAGCGCTGTCTCCACCTGGGGCGCTCTAGGGGCCGTGAGAGAGCATTCGCGGTGAGGCTGGGGGCTTGGGCTCGGGCTCAGGGGTCCGCCATACCTTCCCCGGCCACTCCTGGATGCTGTCCAGGAGCAGAAGCAGGAGCTGCTGGAGGTCGGTCTTGGGCAGCAGGCGGAGCCCCACGTCCAAGCCGGCTCGGCACAGCAGCTCAATCAGGCCCAAGAGGCTCCCATCGGTGTAGGCCCCTGGCTGGGCCAGCACGCACAGCATCAGGAACTGGAGAGCAGAGAGAGCGCTAGGGCAGGGGTGCCTCCCTGGCACTGTGAGCCCTGGGCCCCGCTGGGAAGGAACTGAGAAAAATGGTGAGGTCTGGAGTCGAGGCCCCTGGGGTCGTCAGGGGCAGGCGCAGGCGCAGGCGTGGTGGGCGCGGGCTTCTGTGGCATCCCTCCTGGCCGTCGGCACGGTGCCTGCGATGGTGCTCAGCAGTGTTCACTGAACCGGATGCTGAATAGGTGTGGACTGCGAGCAGAGGGACGGGTGGGGCTCACCTTACAGATGTGGCTCAGGCTGCTGTCCAAGGCCGTCTCCTGGGGGGTGTCCTGCTGCTCAGTCCGGCTCAGGCTAGCCTCACTTTTAAGCTCGCTGAGGTGAGACAAAAACAAAGGAAAGGAAACTGGAGGAGATGGGCGCAAGGGGAGAAGTGAGGCAGAGAGGGAGGCCGCGCTTGCTGAAGAACAACAGAGAGCCTGTGGATGATCCATTCAGCCTGGGACCCTGATGCCCTGTGTGTGCTGGTCACCCACTGCTGCGTAACAAATGACCCCCAAATGCAGAGGCTTAAAAACAACAGATATGTATTATTCTGTGCAGTTTCTGAGGGTCAAGAATCCAGAGGCAGCGTGGAGGGGCGGGGAGGGGGGGCGCGTCTGGCTCTGGGTCTCTTGGGAGGATGCCCCCAAGACGTTGGTGGGGGCACTGCTGTCAGCTTAGGCTTGACTGGGCGGGAGGAGCTGCTTCCCAGCTCACTCAGGGGTCACTGGCCTCAGTCCTTGCCATGCAGGCCTCGCCACAGGGCTCTGCAACTTGCCCCGGCTTCCCCTGAAGCGAGTGACGTGAGAGAGAGGAGATGCCCGTCTGAGACGGAGGTTGCAGCCTTTCATAACCTAACCTTGGAGGTGACATCGCTTCTGCTGATTTCTCCAGGCCACACGGGCCAGCCTGACCTGGGGTGACAGAGAGCTGCACGAGGGGATGAATGCCAGGAGGTGCGGGGTCACTGGGGCCTCTTGGGGGCTGGCTCCCCAACGCTGCCGCTCCAGGAAGGCCTCCAGCTTTAGTTTTCTGGGACTTGGAAAACAGAAAATCATTCTCCACTGACCCCCAAAAGTCTTCCTTAAAAGCACTCTGTGTCCACACAGTTATGGTGAGTCTGCTCATGCGCTGAAAAGGACACTACTTTGTAGCTCACGTCAGGTTAGACTCCAAAGTATCTGCAAGTAAGGTGAAATCAGAGTATAAGTGGTCCTCGAGAACCCCTCCAAAGATGTCCCACTACCATGCTGTCCACGGACAAGCCCGGCATGGCCAGTTTTCCCCTAGAGAGGAAACAGCCTGGATGAAGTTAGAGGCCAGGGTCGTATTGAAAACACCCTCTTTAAAGACCAGAGTCACACTCAGGGTGGCGAGAGTCCTACAGGGAGAGAGGTACTAGCCGACAGCAGAGCCACACCACCCTCTGCACGAGCCTCACAGGCACATGCTCCCTGGAGGAGACACTGATCAGGGGCCCCCTCACTAAATGATGCTCTTTCTCTGGGCAAGTGTATATTGTTGGTTTCAAATAAGTGAGGTGACTGTATGACAACGCTCCCTTTGCTGTCTCTTCCACTCCTCCACTCTTACTAACTGGCCTGGAGTTCCTGATAACAGCGGACTCTCTATAAGTGAAGACGCCGATGATGACAACACCACTGTCAACAATAACAGCCTCCCGTGTAGCCCCCCCGCCCCCGGCCACGGTTCCCAAAGGCTCTGCTCTTCTTTACTTCTTGGTGCTGCTTCTCAGAGGGGGAAAAAAGAAACCCACCTCTAGGCACCCGGGAAATTGGTGTCAACAAACCAAAGTTGGGAGGGGGTGCGGGACAGGATTGGGATCAGACATTCTTCCAGGTCTTAGCATTTATTAGAGCCAGAGTACGAATGGGTAAGGCTGGCGCTCACGCATCTGGGCACACGCTGGACCTGCGTCAGTGTGTGCAGGGGAGTTCTGGTTTGTACCAGCCCGTGAGCACGCACGGGGCCATGCAAGCATGGGTGGGAATGTTTTCAGATCTCCCGAAGGGTGGGGGCAGCCTCAGAGCCGACTTTGTGACTCTGCCCAAGAGGAGCGGGCTTTCAGACAGTTTGGTGCTGCCAGAGGGAGGAGGAGTGTAGAAAACGTGCGCTGGTGATGCGTCTTCTCAGAGCTGGGCAGGGGAAGTGTGGCTATGACAAGAGGCCTCTCCTTGCTGGGAAGGAAGGCCAGCCTTCCCAAGTGGACAGGGGAACAGCCTCCCCTGTGCCACCTCTGCTGGGAACAGCAGGAAACAAATCAGGGTCCTCGTCCCCGGCCTGCCTTTCTGAGGCTCGACTGGGACGTCGGCATCGTGACTGCTGTTCTGGGACGCGGCATCAGCTCATCCCCAGGCCTCCACCTCGGAGAAGAGGAATTCACAGCCTAATAAGCCCACTCCTCTCCCAGAGGACTCAGCAGGTGAAGGGCAAGTTGAGGGTCCCACTGCCAGACTCCACCTGCAAAGCAGCTTCATCCCACCCCCGCCTCCCAGCCTCAACACAGGCTTGGCCAACAGCCAGGAGCTGGAGTTTGGGCTGCAATGACATTGTTCTACACTCTTAAGAGAAGTATGTCAGCTTCTCTATTTGTTTTCCCCTATTACTGTTGGAAAAAAATAATAAAGTGACCCTCTGCACCTTCTCTGAGGGAAGACTGTAAGGGAAGCTACAAGCACTGCCGCCACCATAACCGAGAGCCCAGCAGTGTGTCAGGTGCCCCACCACGGGGGCTGCAGGCCGGGTGCTCTCCTCAGGCCTGCACCGCCAAACCAAACCAGACCCGTCATCTGGGCTCTGCGAGACCGAGGTCAATGCAATGAAGAGGAATAGATGCCGAGCATCTAATAGATGCCGAGCATCTAATAGATGCTGTCCACTTGGCAGACATCAGACGATGTGCATATGGTCCAGCAGCAGCAGGGCTGTTCCCTTCTGGAAGGAAATCCTGAAGCATTCAATGAGACGGTGATGAGTTTTAAGGAAATCTGAGATTAGGAACAACTGGTGAAAGACCTGTCTTTCTCACAGCAACGAGCAAGCCAGCCAAGCTAAGCCGTGCGCCCACGTGTGCCCTCATTTCCAGTCTTGGCCACTGCAAGGCTTGTGGGTGCCCCAGAGGAGCCCCAGGGCACCTGTTCGGCCAGCGGAGCCTTAGATGGTGACATCCCAAGAGGTCAACAGAGAAGCACCCGACGTGGAACCAACTGACACGGGACGAGCCTCCGAGGAGGACGATAGAGAGAAGACTGCCTGCCCTGAAGATTCTCTTGTGGCCCATGTAACCGTGAAGGACGCCACACCCTTGGTGGAAGAGATACCAGAATGTTCTTGGTGTTCCCTGAATAGTCTAGAGCAGGGGTCCCCAAGCCCCAGGCCGGTACAGGTCCGAGGCCTGTTAGGAACCGGGCTGCACAGCAGGGGGTGAGCAGCAGGCCAGCGCGCAAAGCTTCATCTCCCGCTCCCTGTCACCCACGGCAGGCTGGCACACGGCAGGGTATTTGCAGCACAGCAAGTGTGGTTTGGTCTGGTTTGCTTTGGCAGACAATTACCAAACACAGTCGTGGAACAGGTTCTTGAGAAAGCTTTGGCCTTCCCCTAGAGAAACATCCGCCCACCACGGCGCCCTGAGGGCTTGTCGGCAGGCGCAGCCTGTCTGGGGTTCTCAAACCAGCTGCTCAAAGAACTCTCAACAGAGAGTTTGGATGTGCCGTAACTGACACCTTTACAACCCATTCACCCAACACGAGTCGTCTATGTATCGTCCGGCTCTGTCCCTAGAGGGTGGAGACAAATTAGCATCGCTGCCCAGGGCACAAAGGGGGCACCCATGACACAAAGTGGAGCACTGTGGAAATTACATGTAAAATTGTGCCTTGCTGGCCATGAGCTGATATTAGGTAATGTGCCAGGAGGGGCTTGGAGACAGACCAAAGAGATTGGGACGCGTCTTAGGAGAGGAGGGGCGGCGAGAGCTGAGTCAGGAAGGGGCGGGAACAAATGCCAGTCAGAGCAGCAAGACTCAGCCGTGCCTGGCTTGGCTCGTCCCTGCCTCGAGGCTGCGTCACACGCCGTTCATTCGTGGTGCGCAACCGTACTCAGGGGTACCTGTGTGCTGGGATTCCCTCAGACTCTGTGCTTCGCCGTTTGGGCTAGAGCCTGAGCTTGGTAACTTCTTATTTTTAACCTCAAAAAATGCACATAATTTGGGAGTTCCCTGGTGGCCGAGTGGTTAGGACTCCGGGCTTTCACTGCTGTGGCCCGGGTTCAATCCCTGGTCGGGGAACTGAGATCCCACAAGCCGCACAGCATGGCCAAAAAAAAGCACATAATTTAAAATAATCATCAGAGGAAATCTTTCCTTTCTCTAACTTGTAAAATGCTTACTGAGCCAAGGCTGGATACCACCAACAATAATGAAAATGGAGCTCTGTAATGAACGGCCAGGCGTATTACATCTACAGAAAAGAAAATACTTTAGTGTTTCCTAGCATGGATATATGGTTAGAAGAGTCTATTTGTGGGGTAATATTTTGTTTTGTTTTGTTTTTTTACATTTTTCCTGAGGTGTCATTGGTACTACACATATTTAATGTACACGATTTGATGGGTTTGAACTGCTTTCAGTGGCTGTGGACCGCATGAGGAAGGACACCGAGGTGGGGGAGGTACTCACCTCCCATCGCGCTGGAGGGGCCCTGGGGGCTGCAAAGCAGGGCTGTGGGTACCCAGGCTGTGGAACGCGGCCGTGACCTCTTGCAGCGAGGGGCACCACAAGCTCGTGTCCGCATCTGTCAGGCCAAGGAAGGGCAGGGGGTTAGGGAGGGCACAGCAGGACAGGCCGCACTGCGCCCACAAGCGGGGCTGGTAGCCCCATCCTCGGGCAGCACGGGTGTTATCTGGAGCTGTGAAGACGCCAGTGGTTTCAGATACTTGCTGGCGCTTTGGGAACCTGGACATTCATTCTCCCGTCTTCAAGCTATGGCCATCTTGACGTGCAAGGGACCGGGGAGGACGGCACACTGACCATCTCCACCAGGCAGCCATTGGGGCACTGAGCTGCCCCGAGCTGAGCCAGATGCCAAGTCCTGAACCAGAGGCCTCCAGACAGCAAGACTCAGGAGACACCAGGCTCCGCGGCCCTGGGCTCTCTGCCACCAAGGGCTGAGGCCAGCTCTGCACCTACTGCGGACTCAGCAGCGCCTTGGCGGCAACGTCTGGGCACTCCCAGGTCCACCGTCCCTGCCAGGGCCCCTCCTTGCAGCCCAGGACGCATCTTCTCAGCAAGCTCGAGCTTCGAGGACATTCTCTCTTAACAAGACGTGAACGATACTCTGACCACATCAGCAAAGGGGAAAAACCTTACAGACTGAGGGCCTTTTCTCCTGTCAGGCTATTTAAGGATATTTTCTGAACCGGGAGAACAGAGAAATAACAGGCAACGCAGTGGAGCGTATTTCCCAGAGACGGCTGCACCTCCGCAGCCCGCTCCACGCGTTCTCCTGCACTGCGGCGTCCACAGCCTCATCGAGGGGCAGCGCCCACGTCTCCACCCTCTCACCCCTCCACATCATCTTATGTACTGACTTGACTGCTTCTTGTTTGTCTTTCCCCATTAGAATGTAAATTCCATAAGGACAGGGACTACATCTGTGCTGTTCACCCCTGCACACCCAGAGCCTAGAGGAGTGGCCAGTGTGTGGAGGGAGCTGATGGATGGACGGATGGATGACGAATGAATGATGAATGAATGAACACATGAATGGAGAGCATCCTACACAAACCTGACCAAGCAGTACATGACTAAGAGGGAAACTGGAAAAACGTCACAAGCTGGCAGTGCTGAGAAGGCAAATGAGGGATCTGACAGCGGGTGAGTTGTGGGAATCAAGAGTGTGGAAGCTGGGCCAGGAGCGCACGAGCAGCTCAGGCATGAACCTTCCCACCTGAGGGCCCCCCTCGATGGACCCCCACCATGTCACCAAAGACAAAAAGGTGACCCAGTAGAACCCCTGACCTCAGGGAGCTCACGTCTAGGAGGTAGAGGAGCCAGGCAGATAAACAAATACAAGAGAGTGTGTTCCCGCAAAAATCGAAGCCGGGGAAAGATAGGGAGGCTACTCGGGGAAGGGGAAATTAACTGGGGGCTGGGGGAGGCGGAACGGCAGGCGGGAAGCACACGCCCGGCAAAGGGACAGAAATGACAAAGAGCATGAAAGAGCCTGGCACATCCAGCGACCCAAGGCAAGAAACAGGGCGTCCTCAACGAGCTGAGGTGTCTCGGCAACGGTCCCGCGTGGCTGCAGAGCCAGCAGACGGTGGAACGGCCGGCGGAGGGTCTGAGTCCCGTCCAGGGACGAGCCTTGGGCCGCTCGGCATCGAGTGTCTCTCTCTGGAAACGTATACGGGTCGAGGCTCACCCAAGTAGTAATGAGACTCTGGGAGGAGGAAAAACCTTCTTGTTTGTTTATTTTTTTCCTCTTGGGCAGCTTAACAAGTCCGAGAAAGGTAATGCTACCCCTTGCCCGCTACACAAACTAGCTGGGAAGAATGAAGGCTGCAAAACACAATGAGAGAGGACTGTTTCCCTGAGCCTGAGCCATGGGGGACAGTGTGGGCAGCCGGTGACCTTGCCAGGGAGGGGAAGCCGGTGTGGCAAGAGAATCAGCCCAGCGGGGCAGCGACACCCTGCCCGCAGCCCTGGACCCGGCTCCCCGCGGCAGCCCCCGCAGGTGCCTCTGAAGCCCCGTGACAGCAGCAGTGCAGACCCCACCGGCCAGAGGCCCAGCCTGGCCTCGGCTCCTCTCCCTGCGCCTCCCCGGTGATCACTCCACACGCCCGCTCCACCCGGAGTTAAGGTGTCAGGAGCGGTCAGAGAAAGGGGCCTGGGTCACCTCGGGGTCAATCAGTCCCCATCCGACAGCCCGGGCAGTTGGTTAAGTGAGGACAGGCACCGAGAGCCCGTAATTAACGCTGCCCGTAAGTAGGCCATGTGCTCAGCTCTTCCCGAGCACGGTTTGCCCCGAAGGAGGGTTTTCTGGAGCTGACACAGAAGAAAAGTCTCGCGAACTCAGCTCCTCTACGCCCACAGCACGGTCATCTGAGGTGATCCCCCGGGGGAGCACCAGGGCCCTGGGCCGTGTCCAATGCCAGCGCCAACAGCCCCGCGCATCTGGGCTCTGTTTATTAACTGTGAATCTGAAAGCTCTCCTGGGATGGAACTGAGGCTTCGGGGGAAGTCAGGGGAAGAAAGGCATCAGGTCTGAAATAAAAGTGACTCTTCCATCTGCGACTCCGAAGCAGCTTTACGTCACGTAACCCACTCTCCTGGCACCATTTCCACTGAATGGGACAACCATGCCCATCCTGAGAACCCTCCTCAGCGCCGGCCGTGCCAGCCCCCCTGCCCGGGCCTGCTCACCCCTTCTTCACACCCACCAGGTCCCATCCTGGGCCTTAGGGGAGCGGAGTCTTCAGACATCTGTCCTTGTCCTCCCCCTCCCCGCCCCCAAATCGAGTTGCTAAGGAGCATTCTGGGTGTTGCAGGCGCCATCTGACTGGGTCCTGATTCTCTGACACCGTCTGAGACCCCTCAGTGCCACAGCAGGCGGAGTCCCCGTCAGCTGTAACGGGGGTGCTGGTTCCCAAAGGAACGCATCACACACCCGAGCGTGGGTGGGGCTCCCAACATCTAGGGGAGGCTTAAAATCGTATGGTTTCTTAACCTCCCAGCTCTGATTACTTAACTCCCCTCAGCACTCTTGTATTTAAATTGAAACTTGTTCTACATCACGGGCTTTAGTCAATCAGCTCTAGCCCTAGTCATTTAAAATTGTTATTCAGTCAACAGACAGCAAGTGAACAGCAGGCGATTAAAGTTCTGGTGTCATGGAGCTGAAGGTTTCATGGGGAAACAGACAACGCTCACGAAAAATAAACATACCGTGCCCGGGTGTGTAAGTGGCGGGGAAGGAAAGGGGTCAGGGTGACGCAGGGCGATGCTACGGGCGGGCGGAAGAGCCCTGCAGAGACCTGGGTCCAGCCAGGAGCCCGGCGTGTTGGAGCTGGTGCCAGGCCCAGGGGTGGGGGACGGCGGGAGGGGATGGGGACAGGGCCAGAGAGGCCTGGGAGAGGAGGGGAGGGGCCCGGCACCCAGCCCACAGACCCACCCCTCTGCGGGGCTGGGACGAAGGGCGAAGGAGACGCTATCAGAGGGATGATCAGAGTGTGCGGTAGAAACACAAAATCCTACCCAGCCCACATTTCAAGAACACGCACATTTCACTGCCCCAACTACAGCATGAGCACGGGACAGAGCCTCTCACGGCTTCCCCACAGAGCACCGCCCTGGCGGTGGGACCCTGATGCGCCCCGACCCAGACCCGCTCGCTGCTGCTCCGGCCTCTCACGCCCCCTGGCTCCCCCCCAGACCTGCGCTGCCCGCTTTCTTCCTAATTTCCTTCTTGTTCCTTCTCTGCTGGGCAACCCATCCTGCTGGCCCCTTGTTTTCCCTTTTCTTGCCATTCCCCCGGAGCTCAGGCCCTCCCCACGGGGCCCTAGAGCCTCCCTGCCTACCTCGCTGTATGTAACGCAGCGGGCGCCCACCCCTCCACACACACCCCTCACCACACACCACGCTACTCACACACACCCCCACACACGTACCGACACGCCCCACCACACAGACGCGTGCACACACACCACCCATTCACACACACGTACACACACATAGAGGCTCTGTCAGCCCCTGGTCTGCTGATCCACGAGCTGAGGGTGTGTGCAGGGCAGGTGACGCCGTCCCCAGGCCACCTCTCCTCTACTGCCCTCCGTAACTCACACCACTGCCCTGTGCCACCTAACACCGTTGAGCATTCCAGGCTCTGTGTGTAGGACAGACCTGCATTGAGCCAAACCACTGAACCCATGGTATCTGCTAGAATTAGATTCAGCTGCAAATAACAAAAAGCCCCGCCCCCCAACAAAACAAAAAACCCACCTGGGCTTAATAAGCTAGAGTTTTATTTCTCTCTGATGAAAAAGAAGCCTGGAGTGGGCAGCCACACAGTGGGGACCTGACTGTCCTGTGGGACCCTGGGTGATGTCGCTGCTCCACCGTTCTCAGCAGGTGCCTCTCCTTCTCAAGACCACCTGGCAGCCCAGGGTGGCTGCTAGAGGCCCAGCTATTATGTCTCACCTCCAGGCAGCTACTTCCTCACTTTGCTACTTTAGTACACATTCTTGAGTTGTTTTTAAGGATGCAAGGCCCCTTCAGTGTGACTCAGGAAGGCAGCAGCCAACTACCCTCTCAAGTTTCAAAAGCAAGAATTTGAGACTGATTCAGACTCAACCAAAGACGTCCCAGTAACGTCCCTGAATGCATGGCCCACCGGTTCTCTCTCACTTCGGATTTCTGAACCTGCAGTTTTGGGAATGGTCCTGACCTCTGGAATAAAATGAAACAGAAGACACCAGGGACTTCCCTGGTGGTGCAGTGGTTAAGAATCCTCCTGCCAACGCAGGCGACACGGGTTCAAGCCCTGGTCCGGGAAGATCCCACATGCCGTGGAGCAATTAAGCCTGTGCACCACAACTACTGAGCCTGCACTCTAGAGCCTGCGAGCCACAACTACTGAAGCCCGCGTGCCACAACTACTGAGCCCGCGCGCCTAGAGCCCGTGCTCTGCAACAAGAGAAGCCACCGCAATGAGAAGCTCGTGCAACACAACCAACAGCAGCCCCTGCTCACCACAATTAGAGAAAGCCCACGCACAGCAACGAAGACCCAATGCAG